TCATGCTTGGGAGGGTGGAGGGATGGCGCAGGAGAGGAAGGCCCTCTATGAGGTGGATTGATTCAGTGACTGGGATAATTGGGATGGGAGTGTCAAGAGACAGTGCGATTGGCACAGGACAGAGCAGAGTTTAGGGCTGTTGTGCATAGGGTCGCTATGAGTCGCAGGCAACTCGACGGCACATAACAACAACAACAACAACAATATAAAATTAGGCTAACTGGGTTTATTGCTCTTTTCTACAATTTTCATTTTATTTGACCTTGAATACGTTATTCAATCCATTTATGCTTGTTTTTTCATTTAAAAAGAGGAGTAACTTTCCCCCCCGCCAATATCCATAAGCACTTTATTCCACAGATCTGGGAGACAGCGAGTCACCTCCAAGACTGCATCATGATGGTGCTAATTTAAAGAGTATATACAGTCTTTAGTGGTATGGAGTTGTGCTGACAGCCCAAAGGCTTATGATTCTCATCTACCAACTGCTCTGCAGGAGAAAGATGGCAGTCTCCTCCCATGCAATTTACCTATGAAAACCCCTTGGAGAGTCAGCTATGAGTAGTTCCAGCTTGACAGTGTACGTAACACCAACATCATATTGTGGCAGAAGCCCGGGTGGCAGAAAGTGTCAGGCCTAAAAGCTGTTTGAATCCAGCTGCTCCCTGGAAGAAAGGTGAGCAGTTTCTGCCTCTGCAGTTTATAGCCTTAGAAATGTAATGGAGTTTCAACTATGAGTTGGTTCCAATTCAGTGGCAATCTGACTGAGACCTGCCCAAAATTGTACCTCAAATCACTTCATTTATTTAATCACTATTTAATATTCATCTTAAGCATGCCAGGCATTCTTTTAGGTTCTGAGGATAGGGTAATTCACTTACATTCTAATAAGGGGAAATAGATAAACAGGTGGAGATTTTTAAATTTTTTTCTCTCATAAATACCACAAAGAATAAGGAAGGATAAGGGCCTGAGAATGGGAAAGTGTTCTGCTTCATGTATGGAAAGCCAGACAAGACTTCCTTAGTGAAGTGACATTTGAACAGAGGCTTACTGAAGACAGGAGAAGCCCATAATGAAATTGCCTGCTGTGTGTTTAGAAGGGAAGCATTTCAGGTTGTGTTGCTGTTAACAGCCATTGACTTGGATCTGACTCATAGCTAACCTTCCAGTGGGTTTTCTGAGGCTGTATATTGCATGTGAGGTGAGTGCCCATCTTTCTCCTTGGAATAGCTCATGAATTCAAACTGCCTGCCATTGGGCTGGTAGGGTAACTCCTTACCACTAGGCCACCAGAACTCCCTTGAGAAGGCAGGATATTCAGAAGCAGCATGGAAAAAGGTGTGTATGCCTTGAGTAGAGCCAGAACAAGGAAGAGTGGTGGAAAATGAGGTCAGAAATTGCAGGGGTAGCTAATTAAAATCTTGCATGCCAGTGTTAGGATTTTGGCTTTTACTCTTGAGTGTGGAGGGGAACCAGGCCACAGTTGTGTCTCTCGAGGACCACTGCAGTTCTCTATTGTCTGTTGACGTCATTCTCCCACTTGAAACCCTGAGGAGTATTTCTCTTAAGAGTGAGATAATATCCAAAGTCAGAACACATTTTATCTGTTTTTTTTTTGACACCCCTTCCGTGATTTAAAAGGAGCCTTGGCGGTAAACTGGTAACCAAAATGGCTATTGAAATCCATGAACAGTCTCCTCCCCTGAAGATTTCCAGGCACAGAACCCTAAAGGAGGACTACCAAGAGTCATAATCGACTTGACGGCAGTGGATTTGATGTGGGGTTTTTTCCTGACTTAAAGGAGTCCTGGTGATTGATTCACTTGGCTGCTAATTGCAGGGCCACCCAGGAGGTAGTTTATATCCCTCAGCTGCTCCTAAGACAGTGTCAGCGGTCTGCATCTGTGCGGATTTATGGCCTTAGAAATACTATTAGGACTGGGTTTCTGATCTGTGATTAAAGAATGTTGGCAGTATATTGGTTAAAGGGCACCTCTACTAATGAGAGGTCGGCAATTTAAACCCACCTCCTTCTCTGTGGGAGAATGATGTCTGCTTCTATAAGTTCACATCCTTTGAAATCCTATCATGTGGTTCTGCTCTATCTTGCAGTGCTAATTATGGGTTGCAGTCTACTTGACAATAGTGTGTTTGGCTTTATTGTAGGTTTAGTAGTTCAGTATTAAGTGTTTGGCAGCCAACCAAAAGGCCAGTGGTTCAAGCCCACCAGCAATGTTATGGGAGAAAAATGTGGTTTTCATAAAGATGTACAGCTTTGGAAACCCTTTTGGAGCTAGTCTCACTTATCCTATAGGTTTTTGTCATGAATCGGAATTACAGGCAGAGGGGGTTTTGGGCCTAGAGGTAAGAAACAACCCCAAAGGCATGTAAATCCACCAGCCACTCCGCGGGAGAAGATAGGCAGACTCTTGCATGCAATTAACTGCCTCTGAAAACTCTCTGGAGGGTCAGCTTTGGGTTAGTTCCAAATCAATGGTACTTTAAAAAAAAATATTATTTTCTACAATTGTTTGAAATAAATGTCCTTAATATACATAAAAGAAGCGAGCTTTACTCATCTCTTAACTATATTTTCATCTTCTACCTCACTGTAGGCAGGCACCACAAGGATGTGGTTTATCTTTTTTCCTACCTGTGGTCAATCAAGTACAGAGTTGAAAATATTTTAAGCATGGATTGACTACTTGTTGCCTGATTTTAAGTTATGCTCTATTTTTTTAAGATGGTCACTTTAACCCTGAGGTGGTCAAGTATCGGCAGCTGTGCTTCAAGTCACAGTACAAACGCTACCTCAGCTCCCAGCAGCAGTACTTCCATCGGCTGCTGAAGCAGATTCTTGCTTCCCGGAGTGTAAGTAATGTTAGAAATGGGATATCAAATGTAAACAGGAACTCAGAGATGTCAGGACTTAGAGAAGTGGCTCAGAATCCTTACTGCTAAATCATAGTAAAATTGTAGTTTAGTACATTGTCATCATTTTAAGATGTATCCTGATTTCAGAGCTGTAAAAACAGAGGAAAAGGATGCATATTAAGATTGGTGCAGTTGAGTAGCTTTACCATATACAAGGGTTCTCATGTGGTGTAGCCCACAGATTCACTACCATCCCAAAGGTAGCAGCTCTCTGGTGACCAATCTACCAGCAGCTCCTTGGAAGAAAGATGGATAATCTCTTCTTGCACCATTTACAGCCTCTAAAAACCTATTGGAGAGCCTGCGATGAGTTGGTTCTGACTTGACAGTGATGAAATGAATTAACTTTTCCCTCAACCAGGTGGGATAACACAATGACTATACCATTGAGGTTGAGCACATAGGAGACTGTGAGCATGTTGCAGGATGAGGCAAGGTTCTGGTCTGTCTTTGATAGCGTCACTATGAATTGTGTTTAATTCTGGCACCTAAAACAAAATATGCACATGAATTTCAGGCAAATGTTGTTGGTGCCATCAAGTTGACTACAACTCGGAGAGGCCTTGTGAACTAGTCTCCATTTTGTATCATCATGATCTCCAGTGTGCTTAAGCCCATTATTACAGTCACTGTGTCAATTCATTTTGTTGGAGTCCTTCCTCTTGTAGACACATAGTAGGCTATTAAGAAAACTAAGTTGCTCTTCCTCATACTATGTTGTTGGCTATAGGCAAAGATGTCTTTAAGTTGTTCTTTAACTTCTATGACATAGAATTAGCATTTTTCCCTAGTATGAATCAACCTAAGCCCTTTTTATTAGTATTCATATATATGCTGCTTTGTTAACTAGAGGGAGGAATTTGAGTTTGTTAGGCACTGAGGAAAATAATTAGATTCACTGTGCCTATATTGTACAACAAGATTTAAATAACTGCGTATGGTCTCCTCTAGGATCTACTGGACATGGCCCGAAGGAGTGGCCCAGCCCTTCCCCTCCGACAGAAGCGCCCTTCCCCCTCCCGCACCCCTGAGGAGCGGGAGTGGAGGACTCACCAGCGCTATTTAAAGGTCTTAAGAGAAGTAAAGGAAGAGTGTGGTGACACGGCTCTGTCATCTGATGAAGAAGGTGAGTGTCTATAAGCCCTTGGGCTGGCTGGGGTGGTGCAGTTACATCTAGCAGCTTTTGCCCAGTTGGAGCCAGTGGTAGCAGTAATTCTCCCCAGTCAGGAAGCTTTTAAGTTAATCTGGTTTGGTGGGTGGATTGTGGACCTTAGAAGTCCTTGCTTGGTCTTTGGGTCACTGAGACATTCCTGTTAGATGGGAAGTGACTATGCATATGTTGTTTATCCTTAATGCGTAATTGGCATTGGAGTTTGCATCAGAAACTGTTGGACAAATCCCTGCATGGCAGGGCTCTTTCCACAATAGGCTTGTCTGGTCCTATTGTGCCGCTTGAGAGACCTGCTTTTCCCCTTACAGGAGAGTAGTAGTGACTGTTGGCCTGCTGCAATGCGACCCATCACTCTGTTGACGCCTCTCTTCCTGGAAGAGCTGTTTAAATGACCTAAGTGTGCTCCAGTCCATCTGGGGAAGGGTCAGAAAGGAATGTGGAACCCTGGCCTCCATGTGGTTGGCTTAACCTTGTTGAATCCAAATGGCCACTTACCCAATCTCCCCTATTGGAGTCCACAGCCACGTTGGATTTACAAGAACACTTTTCTTTTGAAGATCTCAGTTCATGGCTTCCGAGCTCTCCAGCGTGTTCTCCTAGTCCTGCGGTGCCCCTCAGGGTGGTGCCCACACTTTCCACCATGGATATGAAAACTTCAGGTGAGGCCTGAGTTGATGTTAATGCTCTGGGAAGTGAGAATATTGATTCGTAGAGGGAGCTGGGTACTAGGTTCTTACCCGCCAGAAGGTAAAGCATTGCTTAGAACTATTAGATTTCGATGGAATTTGTTACTACTCCACTTCTTACAGATTGGCGACTTCCCAAGTATTTCACAATGCCAGTTGTTAAGCCAAAGGACAACTACCACTTTATTCTTAATGATAAATTTTAAAACATACCCTAATTTTGGAGATGTTAGACTTCTGGGAAAAATCTTGCATTTTCACATATTTCTTTTATTGGTAGAAAAAAGATCCTTCCTTTAGAATATTGACAGTAGCCCAAATATCCAAACTGTGGTACCATTCCATCTTCACCATTAACTAACTGCTCCTCCTGCATTCATTTCCTCCACTCTTTGTCTATGTCTTTTCGGTTTCTGTGATTCACTGTAAGGCTTTATAAAAACTAAAAGCCAATCAGGGAAATGGCTCATGCAACTGTGAGTGATGTAAGCTGGTGCTACAGAGACTGGTGAGCAGTAGGCCAGGATCCTACAGGCTGTCTGTTGTGTTGCAGCCAGATGCTATGTCTCAGGAGAGCAGATGTCCTAAGGGAGTGAGTCTGTGAGCTGTATAGTATATACGTCTCTAGTAGGGTAGAACTTGTATTCTACCCTAATCCTTTTTCCTTGGTAGAATAAATGTGTCATGGAAAAATGGAAAGCTGTGGATGAAAGGACCATATTAACATACCATAGTATCTTGAAATTATTTAAGGCAAAGATGGTGAAACTTCATCTCATATTTTGGACATGTTCTCAAGAGGGCCTGGTCCTTGAAAAAAGATACTAAGCCAGAAAAGGAAGAGGATTAAAAAGAGAGGAAGACCCTCAATTAAATGGATTAATACAATGACTGCAACAGTGTGCTGGAGCAAGGCAAGAGATCTTGAAGATGGCATAGGATCAGGCAAGATTCCAATATATTGTTCATAGGGATGCTTTGTTGTATGTCAGTGTAATACACTAGATGATTGATAGATCCTGAGCTTCCTTTTTAAAGGGCTGCATTTATTTGTTGAAATATGTCAATTGATAATCCATCAATTCCTGGGGGCTTGTTTTTTGCCAGTTCCCTTGGAGCAGCTTGAACTTCCTCTTTTATCACCATTGCCTCTTGGTCCTATTTTGTTTCATGAAATTTTTCTGTATCAGCCAATTCTTTTTGATATAGTGACTATACTTCTTCCATCTTCTTCTGATGCTTTCTGGATCATTTAATATTCTGCCCATAGCATCCTTAAGTATTGCAACTTGAGGCTGGGTTTGTTCTTCAGTTTCCTCAACTTAAGAAATGCTAAGCAAGTTTGTCCCTTTTGAGTTACTGACACCACTTGCACATTTCATTATAGTACTTTATCTTCTCAAGCTGTCCTATAAAATCTTCTGTTCCATGCCTTAACTTTCTGATTTCTTTATTTTGCTTTGCCTTCTCGGTGCTCTAGTGCAATATTCAGAGTGTTTCCTTATATACTACATCTCAGTCTTTTCTTCTTCCTCTGTAATGACCTTTTGCATTCTTCATGGATGATCTTCTTGATAACCTCAACTGGTCTTTGTTCATTGGTGTTCAGGAGCTCAAACCTATTCCTGAAATGGTTTTTAAATTCAAGTAGGATATACTCAGGGTCCAATTTTGGTTCTTGTGGGTCTGATTGAATTTTTTAAGCTTCAGCCTTAACTTACATATAAGTAGTTGATAGTGTGTTCCACAATCAGCACGTGGCCTAGTTTTCACAGCTGATAAAGAATTTCTCTAGAGGTTCTTTTGTACAGATATAATCAGTCTGATTGCTGTGTAGTTCTTTCACCTCCCAGTGAAGTCCATGTGTATCTTATAATAGATATTTGCAATGAATAAATCATTGATTGTACAGAATTTTATTAAATCATTAATTGTACAAAATAAATCCTTGATTGTATAAAGTTCTGTCATTCTATCTCCAGCCTCATTTCTATTACTAATCCATGTTTTCTAACTGATCCTTCTTCCATGTTCCCACCTTTTGCATTCTAGTCACTCATTTCTGCATCTTCGTTTCAATTTCTGACTTTTGGGAATATTTTGTGTGTGTGTGTGTGTGTACCATCAAATCGGATCTGACTGATACAGGAGGAGATTGCCCCTCCTTCTCCAGCAGAGCATCTGGTGGATTTGAACTGCATACCTTTGGGATTACAGTGCAGGGAATTTTTTTAAAAATAAAATTTTAATTGTGATTTTAACATTTACAGAAAAGTTAGATTGTCATTCATTCATTGTTGCACAATTTACCCCTTCATCCTCCCTTCCCCCTAGTTTACTTTTTTTAGATATTCATTCATTGTTGTACCATTACCCACCTCCCCCATTCCCTACAGTCCTTTTTGCAATGATGTACCTCTTATTTTGTACTGTTGTTGTACGTATAGGCCTAATCATACATTCCTTTTAGACAGTTCTTTTCTTTTGTGTGCTCCAATGTAGTGGCCATTATCTTTCCACTTTTTTTTTACAATTTTTTAAATTTTTATTAATTTTAATGAAAGTTTACAGAGACATGGGGTTTCTAATCATTCATTGTTGTACTTTTCTTCCCACCCACCCCCTCCTCCCCAATTCACTCTTCTCCTTGAAAAGAAGAAAAAAAACTTCTTTCATTGTTATGCAGTTGCCCCCACCCCCCACCCCAAGTCCACTCCACTATGCAGCCTTCACTCTGGACTTCTGTAATGACAAGAATACCCATTCATATGTCCCTTTTAAACGGTTCTCTCCCACCTCTGTTTCAGTGCAATATCCATCATTCTCCCATGCTTTTCTGTCTTCCCTCAACCCTGATGTCAGTCCCCTTTTACAACAGTGGCCCTATGCAATATTTGTCCTTTTGTGACTGAGATATTTCACTCAGCTTCACTCAGCATAATGTCCTCCAGGGTCGCCCATTTTGCATAATACTTCATGAGTTCCCTGTTTTTCAATGCTGCATCGTATTCCATTGTGTGAATATACCAGAGCTTTTCAATCCATTCGTTTGTTGATATACACTTGGGTTGTTTCAGGCTCTTTATTGTGAAAAAAGCCGCAGTAAACATAGGTGTGCATATATCTGCTTAGGTGATATTTATGGTTTCTTTAGGGTAAATTCCCAGTAGTGGAATTGCTGGGTCAAATGGCATTTGTATTTGCAGCTTTTTGAGAAAGCTCCATAAAGCCTTTCATAGTGGTTGTACCATTTTACATTCCCACCAACAGTGAATAAGGGTTCCAGTTTCTCTACAACCTCACCAGCATTTGTTATTTGCTGTTCTGTTAAATTTTGCTATTGATAATCTCATAATTGTTTTGATTTGCATCTCTCTTAGAGCTAGGGCTTTTGAACATTTCTTCATGTGTTTGTTGGCCATCTGAATGTTGTCTTTGGTGAAGTGTCTGTTCATATCCTGTGCCCATTTTTCAATTGGGTTATTTACCTTTATCTTGGTGTGGTGCTCGTATCTTTCCGCTTTCATCCTGTTCTCCCAACCTCCCATGTTAGACTTGCTTTATAACAGTGGTGCTATGCAGTACTTGTCCTTTTGTGACTGAGATATTTCACTTAGCATGATGTACTCCACTGTCCCCCATGTTGTGTAATGTTTTACGAGTTCATTGTTTTTCAGTGCTATGTAGGTAGGATTCTACTGTATGACTATACCATGTTTTTTTTTGTCCATTCATTTGCTGATGTGCACTTGAATTGCTTTCATCTTCTTGATACTGTAAATAACATAGAAATAAACATGGGTGTGCATAAATCTGGGTGCTAGCTCTGGTTTCTTTAGGGTGTATTCATATCAGTAGAATTGCTGGGTCAAACTTTTTGAGAAACTTGCCCAACTTTTTGAGAAACCACCAAACTGCCTTCCATAGGTATTGCACCATTTTACACTCCCAACAGCAGTGAATAACCATTTGAATATCTCCACAACCTTGCCAGCATTTATTGCTTGCTGCTCTCTTGAGCTTTGCTGTTGTTACTGGGGTGAGATGGTATTTCACAGTTGTTTTGATTTGCATCTCTCTGATTACTAGAGATTTTGAACATTTCTTCATGTGTTTTTTTGCTTTCTGAGTGTCCTTTTGGGTGAAGTATCTGCATCCATGGACCTGAGACTGCAGCATCTGGCAGGAAAAAACCAATTTCAAGTAAAGTGGGAAAAAATTGTATAGTAGCATCAGCAGCTTCACTTTCTCCTCCTCCAGATAGACCTGAGAAACGTAGCAATCTGTCTAATGGTGACCTGCTTTTAGCTCCTCTCATATTGAATATGAGCACATACTCTTGAAGGCAATGTGAGCCAGCCCTTCATACATTTACCCCTTCCTATTTTAGATAAAAAAATGTTTCAGTTGGCTATTCCAGTTCTTTATCAGACCATTACTCTGAGGGTAACATGTAATATAATTTTTGTGATGTGATATTGTTGTGATAGAGTCAACATCCAATATGATTTTTCTTGGCTTATTACTGTGCTATGTAGGCTGTAAAGTGTGTTCCTTGGTCTGAGAAGATATAACTTGGGGGCCCAGACTAGTTTAGTATCTTTTGTTCCAGTCCTTTTATGGTATTTTTTTACATTTGCATTGGTTATAGGATATACAAAGCCCAGTCTGGAGTAAGTATCCATTCCTGTGAGGACTTATTTGAAGCCGCCTGGTGTCATTGGTCTGATAGAATCATTTTGCCAACTTTGTGCAGGGCCTTCCACCCGGAAATCTGTCCCATAGCCATCTGCAATCTCTTTCTCTCTTACTGGCTAGCTGGGCAATCTTTATGGGTGTTTTGTGCCTCAGGGGGGAAAGAGGAATATGTCTAATTTTATCCCATCTCTGCATTGCTGCTGCACCCCTGTATCCACTCATTTCATGGACTCAGTTGGTCATCTCAACGGAGTGTACCAACGTGTCGTCCTGCTGTTTACAGTCATCCCCTTATCCTGGCAAGGGGTTCTTGTGATGGACATTGACATATCCAATTTTAATGTGTGCCCTAAATTCCAGTAATACTTTCCTTAGGTTCATGCCCCATACTAGTGTTCCTTTAATAGTCCAACTCTCCATGGCCCATTTTCCTGACCATATGATTAAGCCATTAGCCACTGCCCATGAATCAATAAAAACTCCAAACATGGGAACTCTTAACATCACTCAGTTCCTCAGTCACTGCTAGGAAGACAGCATATAGTTCAGCTCATTGTGCAGGTCTTTTCTTGCCTTACTCAGAGTCTTGCCATCTGCTGATCTAAATGCGGCAGCTTTCCATATCACATGGTTTCCATATACCCTGGAACTGCCATCTGTGAACCAAGCAGCCCTTCACTGAACAGCAGAAAGTTTTTCATAGGGCATTGTCCATGTGGCATTGGGAGACAGGCAACCTCTCTGGAGGTTCTAGGGTATGACCAATGGAAAAGAGGCTACTTGCTTGTGGATTTGGTGGGTGCCTCCCTGCATTCCTCTAATAGCTTGTTCTTGGATAAACTGTTTCCGTTATACCAGGAAGCTGTTTTGTGAGAGCACCTTCTTTATTAAAGTGTTTCTCTGACATTATGCATAACAGGATGGGTATTTCAGGTCTCATAATAATTTTATGTCCTTGTCTCATTAAAGTAATCTCAACCAATGCCCAATAGCATGCAGGTGACTGTCTTTCAAATGACATGGATTGTGCAGCAGCACCAGTAAATTTCCTTGTCCAGAATCTTAGTGGTCACCACAGGACAGCCTTCTCATGTTTTTGCCTTTCGCGCCAGTCTGCATAAGCACAGGTCACAGATAGCTTGAGAATCATGTGTGAATGTGGATCATAAGGGCCTAGAGGCAAGGGAGAAAGACTGCTTTCTGTATTTCAGCCATAGTCTGCTGTTGCTCTGGGTCCTGTTCAGAAACAGTTTTCTTTTGGGTAACTTTATGGATAGGCACTAACAGTATTCCAAAAGGTGGGATACGAGTCCTCCAAAATCCAAATAGACCAGTCAGATGTTCGGCCTCCTGTTTAGTCTTAGGAGTAGGTAGTGACAGACACTTGTCCTTAATTACCTGTGGAATTTCATTGGTTTCCTTTGGTCTGTTATATTTTCTGCCTGTTGATGCCATGTTTGAGACTACTGAAGCCACAGGTGACACTAGTTTATGTAGGCCTTGATAATCTACACTTAATTTCCATGAGCCATCTGCCTTTTTTACAGGCCACATAGGGCTGTTAAATGGAGAATTTGTTAAGGCCAACAACCCAGCCTTTATCATATCTTTAATCAAGGCAGTTATTTCCTTTTGGCCACCAGAAATCCAGTACTGCCTCAAATTAACAACCTGAATGGGCTCAAGCAATTCTAAAGGTTCCCATTTAGTATGTCCTATCGGCACTGCCTTAGGGCTGACTAGTTTTAGGCCTTCAGTTTTAGAGTCTGGTAGAAGGAGTATTTTCAAATTATACAGTATTGTGATGGGAAAGTCTGCTGTTAGGGACCTCTCCAAAGTACTGAAGAGCAATGCTGTGTCTCTGGAGACTAAGGCGTGTCTGATACAGGCCATGGTCTTTGCTATCACTTGTTATGCATCAGAGAGTTGTACAGAGTTGTGGTGCTGGAGAAGAGTATTGAGGGTACCATGGACTGCTAGGAAAACAAACAGATTCATCCTGGCAGCTCCTTGGAGGTAAGGATTCTGAGGCTCCATCTAACATACTTTGAACATGTTGTAAGGAGGGACAGGTCCTTGGAGAGGGACATCATGCTTGCGAGGGTGGAGGGACGGCGCAGGAGGGGAAGACCCTCTATGAGGTGGATTGATTCAGTGACTGGGATAATCGGGATGGGTGTATCAGAGACAGTGCGATTGGCACAGGACAGAGCAGAGTTTAGGGCTATTGTACATAGGGTCGCTTTGAGTCGCAAACGACTCGATGGTACATAACAACAACATCCATTACAGTAATACATTCAGGTAAAGAAGATGCAACTGCTTCATACAACATTTGTTTATATTTTCCAGTTCTCATCCAGGCTTTCACTCCAGTCCCATTAATTGCTGCCTTTCCATATCCTCCTAATGCAACTTTAGATCCCTTCAAGATTGTGTCCATAGTTTGAAAGTTACAGTACATTGGGCTTCTGTGTCCAGAAGCCCCAGGAATGTTTCTTCTCCACCCCTAGGCCATTTTATCCACACCTGTGATTATAGGCTTAGGTCCCCTGCTAGGGGTTGGACCAGAAGACCCTGGCCTTCCTACTATCTAGTTTAGCTTCTGCTTCAAGTGGTTCTGAATAGCTTCCCTCATCATTAATTACTTTGTAAGTGGGATGAACAGAATGGACTTGTTTAGGCCTTTTTGATGTTGGGGGAACAGAGAAAATTCACTGCTCCACCCAACCTCATGTAGTGCTATCTTAGAACCCTTGTCTCAACTCCATAAATATCTGCTATATTCATCCCATTCCTGAGTAACCATCTAAAAATATCCACCCAACTAGGGTAAATATTTTTTCTGTAGTCTCCTCCTGCTTGCCTATGAATCACTTTGATGTTTCTTGAACCCTTAAAACCCATAAGGGGAATTGTATGCAATAGAGCGGACACAGCTTCTTCAGTTGTTGTCTTGTTCTCCAGTAGCAAAGCTACCTGAGATTTCCACCATCTCTGCCATGGCCTCTGGAATATTCCATTTGTTACTTAAGACAAGGACAGGGGCAGTTGCCCTTGGAGAGATAAAGAATCCCAGTCACACATTATAAAGTCTGTAAAGCTAATCATCCCCTCTGGGATAATCTAGCACTAACCCATACATGCTCCTCCATTTTCAGCATACAGAAACACAGCTGCTGCCCCTAAATTTGTCACTCTTAAAATAAATTTTAGTAATGGTTCCTCAGGAAGCTGCTGATAATGATCTACAAGCTTATTTATTTCCTCTCCATCATATGCCTGGTTGCAATAATTTCTTGATTCTGCCCATCTGTTCCCAGACTAATTTTGTGACCACAGATCTGAGAAGTATTTCTGATTGCTCCCATATAGTTTTTTCTTTTGCAGGGGAGCCTGAGAAAAGGAGCATATCTGTCCTGGTAGAACTTTGTTCAGTTTTTACTTCAGCCCTCTTCAGTACCTACATTCTTTTCCTTTTCGTATGTTTCCATTACTTTCTGCCTTTATCCAACTCACCAGCTTCTCAGGAATTCTATCTGCTCACTTCATGTCCCATAAGTAAGTTTTGTTTCCGTTAACTGCCTGCAACATAAAAGCTGAATTATTCTATGGATATTACTTAATCTACCCAGAGTCCAAAAGTTTCTTATTTTTTTGTTTACTTCTTTTTCTCCAAAGTTGCATGTTGCAGAGAATCTGGACCTTTGTAGCAAATCCCACTATGCTGACACAAAAAATTGTCCTTATTATATTATGTACTACGATTAATAGTACATTATTTATGAGAAGACTCAATGTAATCCCAAATGCTTAAAACGTTATATAAGTCATAGTTTCTGTTAACAGCTTCATCTGTGACTCAGTTCTCCAGTTCCTCTAAGGCCTGTGGGCTGATAATTTGCTAGAATTTCCTCCAGAGACTCAAACCTGTCAGGGGAATGACTCATGTGACTTTAAGTCTGCAGACCGGGTTTTTGTAAAAACTGGTGAGCATTCAGCCAGGCTGGGTGCTGTGGGAAGCTTAAACACAGTCACACCACCCGCTCTGTTTTCACACACAAACCCTCCTCAATGTCGATAGTGCTCGCTTTAAATTGATATTCCAGGTGTTGCTGATTGGCAAGGCCATGCTGATTTGTAGGACTATGTGTCTGCAGTTAAGGTGGCTGGTGACCAGAGGGGACTAACTGTAATGGCTAAAAAAAGCCAACTTTTAGGCCAACATCACAGTCACTGTTACTGTTTATTGTATAGGCAAGTTTCCATAGTGTTCCTGTTGTCATTTCAGGGTTTTTACTTCTTTTATTACACAGATATTAGGAAGGAAATATAGAAAATCTTACTTTTAAGTATCACATTGATGAGAAAAGAAAAAATTTTAACATCATGGTTGCAAATGATGTAGTCCATGTGTCTAATTTACTTTCAGATAAAATAGAACTGGGGGACAGTGACCTGAAGATAATGTTAAAGAAGCACCATGAGAAGCGGAAACATCAGCCAGTAAGCTGGGTGGGGATTGGGTAATTTTCCTGTGGGCCTGTCCTCTGGATTGGGTAAGCAGTGGGCAGAGAGTCTCTACTACAAAAAGAACAACCACAAGTGCTAGTTAACACAAGAGAACATGAAAGAGCTCTAATTTTACCTGACTTTTAATACCTGCGATATCTGAATCATTACCTTCATTGTATTGATGCGCAGAGAAATTAACGATCTTGTCTGAGGGCCCCCCTGAAAGTAAGTGACTGAGCCCAGGTCAGTCCTGTGCTCTTTCCTCTGTTTACTGTTTCGATTATTTACTTTACCACATCAGGTTAATGCCACTAAAGCCTCAGGGTCTATCAGAAAAATAGGATTTATTTTCAGGAAGCAAAAAGACAGTCTGTGTAAGACAGAATAGTGATACAGAATGAGTTCCACATTAGGATTTGTAACTATTACATCTCTGTCTTTTCCACTTAACTAACTGGATGATACTGGGAAAATCCTTTAGCTTCTCTGAACCTCATTTTCTTTATAATTTCTAATATTTGACAAAACCGAAGACCACATGAGATAAGAATTATGGTGGAGCATTGTAAACCATAGAGTGTCTTATAATGGAAAGGACAGAATGGAATTCTCAGTTTGCATTATTGTCAAATAGTGGTTTTTATCTCTGTACATTTTTAATTCAGCAAAGTTCTTCAAATGCAGCAGATACCCAACTTTTTGTTAGGTAGATTTAGTGTCTGTAGAGCCCCTCTAACTTGGTCTTTGGATATATCACATCCAGGATCACCCAGACCTCTTGACCGCAGACCTAACGCTCAGTGACATCATGACTCGTGTAAATGCTGGCCGCAAAGGCTCCCTGGCAGGTGTGTGCTAGTCCTTACAGATCACCTTTGTTTTGTTACTGCATTTTGTATTTTTTTGTTTTTTTTATTTATCTTTTTTTCACTGATGCACCCCTTGTTCCAGATTGTTGTCATACATATAATGCCTGATCCTCTATATTCCTTTCAGACATACCTGCTCTTTATCTGTTCTAAGGCAGTGTTCATTATCTATCGACTCATTGTCTATTCTCCCTTCATCCCCACCATGTCTGTCCTATTTTATAACAGTAGTGTTATGCACTGTTTGTCCTTTTGTGACTGAGATGTTTCACTCAGCATAATGTTCTTTAGTTCAGTCCTCTAGTCCTCCCCTAGCAAGGTGTAATGTTCTATGTGTTCATTATGTTTCAGTTCTGCGTGATACTCCACTATGTGAATCTACCTTAGGGTTTGTTTTTTTTTTAGCCATTGTTGGTTGGCTCTTGGGTTGCATCCATTTCTTTGCTATTGTGAATAATGCAGTAATAAACATGATTGTGCAGGTATCTTATAAATTTATAAGGTGGGAGATGTATAAAAATTGGGACAACAGATCATTGACTCTCTTACAAGTCTTCAAATTAAGTTGTAGCTCACTCATTGAGTTTGGTATTTAAAATCCAAGTATTTTGCTACTGAAATGTTTTCTTTCAGGTAGTCTTTAGGAAATAATATTCAGATAATACTGCCTGCCTCCTGATGGAGAAATTTCAGTTCTTTTTTTTTTTTTTTTTTTTTTTTTTCAGCCAGCTTTAATTTTACTTTGGTGC